CAGTGGACGAACCCTGCAGTTGTCTGCGAAGACAGCCCGAGCGAGGGCCCGTAATGACTATTCTTTCCGCTAACTAAGAAAGGTGATGACAAAATCGGTCAGAGAGGACCGTAAAAACTACTGGGCTAAAATTGCAACCTCCATGGAGCAGGCCTCAAACGTTGGTGATACTCGAGAGCTCTACCAATTTATTCGCCAGGCTAGTGGTAGACTGTATTCACTGAGTGACTTAGTTCGTGATGTGAATGACAGCTTTATTGCTGACAACGCGGCTAAGATCGAACGCTAACGTGAGCACTTCGAGCACCTCCTCAACTTTGATACGGAGCCCACCGCCCCCCTGCTTTCACCAACAGTAGAGCCTCCTTCATCTTTCACTTATCCAGTCTCATCCAACCCGCCTTCTGAAGCAGAAATTGCTGATGCCATAAAAAGGCTGCGCAACAATAAAGCAACTGGAAAGGACGGCATACTCGGTGAAATCTACAAGTCTTGTGCCGACACTCTGATTTCTGGCTACATGAGGTGCTTGGACAAGCATGGATAGACAAAACCGTTCCCGATGACTGGGGCTGAGGCATCCTTGTGCGTGCTTACAAGAAGGGATACAAGACAAATATGAGAACTACCACGACATAAGCCTCGTCGACATTGCTGTGAAGATTTTTACTATTGTTCTTTTCAGGCGGTTCCAATCTTTGCGCGATTCCAGGACGCGACTCAGCCAGGCCGGATTTCGTGCTGGACATGGATGTGTGAATTAGCTATTCATACTGAGACGGATCCTTGAATTCAACCATAGCTACCAACAACCAATGGCTAAACACTTTGTTGACCTTGTCGCTGTGTTCGACTCCATCCATCGTGACTCCCTATGGCGGATGATGGTATCTGATCTTGTACCACCCAAACTGATCCCCATGATCAAGACATAATACCGTTCCACCACTGCGCGGGTTTTAGTCCACAACAACCTCTCAGAACCCTTCGCTATTCGGTCAGGCCTTCGGAAAGGCTGTGTCCTGTCGTCCATCCTCTTTAACTACGCCATTGACTGGGTCCTCGGTAGGCCCTACAAGAAAGTGACGGTATTGAGCTCGCACCTGGACGGCGATTGACTGACCTTGACTATGCCGATTATATCGCTTCACAAGCATCCAGCTTTGGCGATCTCGAGTCTATGGTGTCACAGGTGAATGAGGTCACGAAATCGGTCGGTTTTTCCATAAACGCTGGGAAGGCCAAAGTGTTTTCATGTTGTATCCCTGCCAAAAAGGAGGCACCTCTCGAGATTAGTGGGTGTCAACTTGAAGAAGTCGACGGTTTCAAGTATTTGCGAGCAAAGTTGCTGCCGAATGGATAAAGTAAGGATGCCATTGTCCCCGAATTGACGCAGCACGACGAGTGTTCTCCAGCCTTCGGAAGTATTTATGGACCCGACGCGATATTTCTTTCTCAACAAAGATCCGCATGTACCGTGCATCTGTGCGGTCCGTTCTTCTATACGGACGCGAATGTTGGGCTATGCGCGTGAAGGATGAACAGAAACTGGAAGTCTCTGACCACTACTGTCTGAGGAACATCCTTCGAGTAAAGTACACCGACTTCGTCTCAAATCAGATAGTCCGCAATCGCCGTGACAAAATCACAAGGATATTCCAGGCCATTCAGGAAACATGGCTGAGGTGGTTTGGACACGTTCTTCGTTGCCAACCTCAAAAGCTCAGTGCTACTACCCTCGAATTGAAACCATTACCTAATTGGAAACGTCGAAGAGGGGTTCAACTCAAAACCTGGCTCGACCCAGTCTGTCAGGACATGGATATGGCTCTCGGACCTTCGGTATTGGGTCTCCGGCACTGGCGAAGAGAATGGGTCGAACTGTCCAGGTCTGCGGCCA